AAGGGAGGGAGGGAGGGAGGGAGGAAGGAAGAAGGGAGGGCAGGAGGGACAGAGTGACAGACTGGGGAGGAGGCATGATAGAGAAGTAAGAGATGTCCCAGAGTAGAGGTGCCAGGTGAGAAATCAGTTCTGAGCTAAGCTCCCTTTTTAAATGAAGACTGAGGAAATTGAGTCAGGTATTGACTAAGTGATCTGCCCAAGGTCACACAGCTAGGAGGGAAGCACCGGCCCTCCATTCTGGTCCAAACCCTCATAGCCTGGTTTTCTTCCTTGGCTTTTTCTAGCCCCCATCAGGACAAGGTCACAGGGTAACTGAACCAGGTATTCCCTGACCTGTGGTTCATACAGTTTATCCATCCAGCTTGGAGACAGCCCAGACCGACCATACCAAGACTGTCTTAGACCATGAAACTGTTACTACTCTGGGTTGTGCTCATTTTTTCAGGTGAGTAAAGTTTATTAGAAGGGATCTGACCCTAAGAACTGGTAGCAGTTCTAGTCCCTTTTCCTCCCCCCAACTGCCATCCAGTCTAGTCTTTTCCCAAAAGAAAAGGATCAGCCAGAGCTAACTCCTCTTGCCATCTGCCATTTCACCTTTGCGACATCTCTTGAACAAGGCTCCTTCTCTCCTCTGACACTGCCACTACGCTGGTGCAGGACCTTAATACCTCACATCTGGACCATTGCAATGGTCAGCTGGGAGGGTAGTCTGACTTCTGCAAGTCTCTCCCCACTCCACTACATCCCCCATTTAGCAACTAAAGTGATTTTCCTAAAATTCAGGTCCCATCATGTTCCCCCTCTATGCAATAAACTCCAATGGCTCCCTATCACCTCAACATCAAATACAAAATCCCCTGGCATTCAAAGACTTTATCACCTAGCCCCCTCCTACCTTTCCATTATTCTTACATCTTACTCCCCAACATTCACTCTTCAATCCAGTGACATGGGCCTCCTGGCTGTTCCACAAATAAGACACTCCATCTCTTGGCTTCTGGCATTTTCTCTGGCTGGAATGTTTTCCCTCCTCATCTCTGCCTCCTGGCTTCCCTAGGTTCCTTTAAATCCCAACTAAAATCCCAGGCAGCCTTCTCCAGCCCCTCTTAATCTTCTCTCTGTTACCTTCTCTTTGTTAATTATTTCCACTTTATCCTATATATAATTTGTTTGTATATATTTGTTTCTTTGTTGTCTCCCCCATTAGATTTGACTTCCTTGAGGACAGGAACTGTCCTTTGCCTCTTTTTTTATGCACATCGCTTAGCATGGTACCTGGCACAGAGTAGTACTCAATCAATGTTATTGACTAACATTAGTTCAAAGCAAAATAATTTAATTCAAAAGCACAGCAAAATAAAGGTCAAGAACAATCCAACCATACAAATAGGAGTCCATTCCATCAAAGATTGCCACACCATCAATAAGGGAGGGGTCAAATTCAGGGAATATATGTGACCAGGGCTCATTTGTGAAGGCAACCCACATGGCCAGGGTACAACTTATGACTGGGGAGGGGGGACTTACACCTCCAATGTTATGGAGCCACCAACAATGATGTCTCTTTCTCCCTTAGTCTATGAACAACCTTCACAATTCCAAACACCAGTCACTTCTACCCAGAGCTCAGCTTGGGAGGCTGAGCAGCCCAAGGATATAACTCTTATGCTGCTAAATCTTGGGGAGTGACTTTGGCCAAAGCTAAGGGAGGGCATTTATACACCCTCATGATCTTTTCAGTTAAGCAGTTATTCCTGTTTTTCCTTTAGACCTTATTTCCATTTCTTAATCAGATTTTAAAGCCCAATTCAAATGTTGTCCTTATGCAAGAAGAGGCCTTTTCCTATCACCCAGTCCTGAAAGACCTTCCTGTCTCAAGCTGCACTTTGCGGGGGGGGGAGAGTACATCTTAAAGCAATTATCACATGATGATGTAATCATTTTTGTAGATTTCATATCTCTCTACTAGACTGTGAGCTCCATGAGGGCAGGACAAGCTAAACTTGGTAGTTCTAGAATTCAGCCCAGAGTTTTTCACAAAGTAGGTACTTAAAGGTTTTGCTGAGCTGAATTGATCTTTGTTATGTCAAACCCACCTAGCATCCTGTTTCATTTTAGGATAAGGACAGAGACAGGGACAGGTACTAGACTTTTGGTTTTACTGGTATATGGACCTCCCAGGGACCACTTGTAGATCTCTCCCTGCCCTGTAACATGGTCTTAGTTACCTTGAACAATGAGAGATTCAGTGACTTGCCTGGCATCACATAGCCAGAAAGTGTCAGAATGGGGATTTGAACTCAGGTCTTCCTACCTTCAACATTAGGTCTTTAGTTATGGCCCCACACTGCCTCTCAATCTCTCATTTTATTGTTGGTGTTGTTCAGTTGTTTTTCAGTAATGTCCGATTCTTTATGACCCCATTTGGAGTTGACCCCACTAGGTGTTTTCTTGGCAAAGACACTGGGGTGGTTTGCCATTTCCTTCTCTATCTCATTTTACAGATGAGGAAACTGAGGCAAACAAAGTTAAGTGACTTGCTCAGGGTCACACAGCTAGTGAACGTGTGAGGTCACATTTGAACTCAGGATGATGAGTCCTCCTGATTCTTGCCCCAACACATGGCACCACCTAGCTGTCCCAGCAGCTCATTTTAAGTTTTATTAATATTTTGGTCATTTATATAGCCCGAGAACACCAGAACCAGGAAACTTCTGTGGTCATCTGATAGCAGCCAGTGCCATCCAACCTGTACCTGAATGAGAACCACAGCATTCTGCCTACCTCCTGAAAAACTGGTGATGGTCTCAGGAGGCAGAAGGAAACAAGTAGCTAAGCAGTATAATGGATTTTGAATCAAGGAGATCTAAGTTCAAATCCAACTCAAACACAATAGCTGTGTGACCCTGGGCAACTCACTTAACCTTCATCTGCCTCAGTTTCCTCATTTGTAAATGAGGATAATAATAGCCCCTACCTCCTAGAGTGGTTGTAAGGAATAAAGAGAAGACCTATGTAAAGCTCTGAAGTGCTATGTGAATACTGGCTATTATTATAACATTTTTTGAACTGGCCAATACAGTCATTTGTCTTGCATGACTATGACTATATGGCGCAAGGATTTTGTTATTTCTTTTTTTTTCCCCAGTGGGATGGATAGAGGCAGAGAAAAATAGATTTCTTAAGTGAAAAAAAATTAATTAAAAAAAGAAATCCACCTGTATCTGTACCATTTCCAACAAATGGCTATCCTGCTTCTGCTTAAAGCTCCTGAGGGAAGGGAAAGCCTACTTCCCAAGGCAGCTCATTCTCATTTTGGCTAGCTGGAACCATTAGGAAGTTTTTCCTACCATCAAGCTTACATTTTCTCTTTATAGCTTTCACTGCTCATAGTTCTGCCCTCTGGGGACAAATAGCAAACATATAGTCCCTTTTCCTCCAAATGACCCTTTAAATATCTAAAAACATCTCTTGTGCCCATCCCTCTCCCACCCTTTTCTTCCCCAAGTTAAATGCTTTCCATTCCTATGATTGGTTCTCATAATATTTCTCTTCCAGGAAGTATGGTTCCAGGCCAGGGGAGCCTAATACAACTGACTCAAATGATTAAACAGGCAACAGGAAAAAATCCTGTCTACAGCTACCTGAACTATGGATGCCACTGTAGACCAGGGGGCAAAGGTCAACCCAAAGATGCAACTGACTGGTAACTACCTCCTTTCACAGAACTTTCCACTCTGGCCTCACCCACCTCATCTTGGAGTCATCATGGGAGGAAAATCTCTGTATAGTACTCAACCAGCCCAATTCAACTTTAATTCAGGGGTTTTTATGGCCAAAGAATTCAGTCAGTCAGCATTTATTAGGTACCTATTAAGTCCCTGCCTCCAAGGAGTTTGCAGTCTACTGGGAATTCATCACTTTCTGGACTTCTTGCTAGAGATAAGCCTCTCCACACTTAACTAGGCTGATCCTTGTAGCCCAGATAAAGTCCATGGCCCAGGCCCAAAAAGGAGAGAGTGCTCACATTGGGCCCTCCCTCCTGAGTTTACATCTCAGGCCACAGGGTCATCTCCATGTGTCCTGATCTATATCTGGCCACTGGAACCAGATGACTCTGGAAGAGAAAGTGAGGCTGGTGACCTTGACTAGCCCTCGCTCACTTAAATCCAAGTCACTTGCAAATCATAGTCCTCTTCAAGAATGAAGGACAAACAATAAACAACAATATCTCAGGCCAAAAGACTGATAAGCAGCAGCCAAAGCCTCTAATCTGAGTTGTTTAAAGAACTCTTTCCTACCTTCCTACCCTCACATGGAGAGGTTTACAAAAAAGATATTCCTTCACCACTTCTTTCTACTGCTATGCCATTCTCTGTTCTAGGGCCTATTCCAAGTTAAGCATTCAGTGTTCTAAGGACTTTCCCAGCTCTGACATTCTATGTCCCAAGGTCTCTTAAAATTCTGATATTCTGTGATTCCATTCTCCTCTGATATCAAAGCATAGGGTAAGGCATTAGCTTCATATTGGTACATGCGTTTCCCTTCCCCCATGGGGAACCTAAAGCCAGTTCTTTTACTAGGGATAGGGGATCAATCATTAAGGTGTCACTTCTCTCTCCCAAAGTTCAGTGGGCAGTGGCAAGGGTAGAATTGAGAGAAAGCTGGAGAAAACCAACAGGCTGTGTTGCTATGCTTCATGTCTGATCTCCCATCCTTTTTCCCCCTCCTAGGTGCTGCAAGATTCATGACTGTTGCTACAAACACCTAATGCAACAAAGATGTCATGTCCTTGTGGACAGGTACAACTACAACTTTATCGACGGGGACATCGAGTGCTGTGAGTTTCTGGGCCAAGGTCTCCCTAGTGCTGAGGGATTATGTTGAGGTTTAGGGGTGCTGGGACCCCAAGATCAGAACACACAGGTCCTACTCAAAAGAATTTGACCCAAGCCTTCTTTCAGTCAAAGAAAAGGTTTATTAGAACATCTGTCACATTGGGCAGACTCTTAAGGAGTCTGTACATTAGTAAGCTATTGGCTAGATTGTAAGAATCTAAGCATCTTAATGGAGACAAGATAGACCTTATGTACAGAAGGACTATGGGAGGGATCTAGGAGTGGCCCAGTAGTTTGGGGTGACTGGAGGAGGGGTCTAAGGAAGATCCGAATGGGAGTAGACAGTAAACTGGGGTGAACAGAACTCCTGGGACCTGGATTATGGAGCCTAGCCAGGATTAAGTGTGGGAAATGGCAGGGGGCCACAGGGAGGTGAGATGATGGAGGGGAGATTGGGTGTGGCCAGAATGAAAAGCCAGTTGATGGGATTATAGTCTCAGGCAAAGGCCAGAGATTTGGCCATGCGGGGAAGTCCAGGGTTTTTCCTTTCTGGGGTCTAGATCCCATCCTCATCCTTTAGATGGTACATCAAGGACCTAACCTTCATCTGGATCCTGAGTGTGTAGTTATGGACTAAAAGATTCCAGAGCTGGAAGGAAAGTTGGAGGATCACGTATTCCAACACTCTCATTTGGCAGGAGAAGAACTAGGCCTAGAAAAGGGTGTGAACCCTGGCTCGGCATACTGGATAAACCACTTCCTCTCTGTGGGCCTCACTTTCCCCATAAGTAAGATGAGGAGGTTTGAACTAGATGGCCTCTAAGGTCCCTTAAAGGTCTAAAACCTCATTGTTTAAGTTATTAAATGTCATTCCTGGGCTCTAGAAGTAGCATCTCCCTTCTGTATCCTAGCTGGGGATGATGGGGAGAGGAAAAGCAGACATGCTCTTCACTGCCCACCTTGGGAAAGCTAGGCCAGGCAATTATCCCATGGTTAAAGTGCCCCCGCCATCCTCCATAGGGTCATAATCCTTCCAAGCCTACCCAAGATACCACCAAGATCACACTAATAAAGAGAGCAAGTATGTCTCTTATTAGCACTTTAAGAATTACAAGGCACTTTGCAGACTGTCTCATTTGAACCTGAAAGATAATTGTTACCACATGCATCATAGATGGGGAGACTGATTCAAAGATCAGTGACTTGTCCGTGATAACCCACCTAATAAGTAGTAAAGATGGAATTTGAACAAGGCCTTCCTGACTCCAGGCCCAGTAGTATATTCACTGTGCCACCTAGCCAGCACATAGATTCAGAGTTTGAAAGGACCACAGAGATGATCTAGTAAGACGTCATTTTACAAATGAGGAAACTGAGGCCCAGGGAAGTTGAGTGACTTGCCTGGGGTCATGCGACCTCTGGCTAAAGCTTGAGTATCTGCTACCTCATTCTTAAGTGGTGATATTTTCCCTAATTGGAGACTAAGGGGGAGCCCCTAGCCTGTAGCCAGGAAGACTCCTTTTCATGAGTTCAAATCTGGCCTCAGACACTTACTAGCTGGGTGACCTTGGACAAGTCACTTAACTTTGTTTGCCTCAGTTTCCTCATCTATAAAATGAGATGGAGAAGGAAATGGCAAATCCCTCCAATATCTTTGTCAAGAAAATCCCAAAATGAGGTCATGAAGAGTCAGATACAATTGAAACAACTCAACATTTCCCCAAAATAGGAAAATAGAGCATTGATTTTGGGAGACCACGGAAATCCCAATCATTTAACTCAGTTTGACTATCACCAGTAATGGGGAACTCACCACCTCAAAAGACAGGCCATTCCATTCCTGGATATCTCTAAGTCTTAGAAGCCGGTGAAGTGCTTTCTCCAGTCCCTGGAGGGTGTCCCCAGTAAGAGTACAACAGCATTCATTGACGCAGCAGGTCCCAAGGCCAGGAGCAGAAAGCATCATTCTCTTTGGTGCTGAGGCCTATGGTTTTGTTGGTGGGTGTTTAGGCTGATGGAGAGGTGGAGAATAATAGAATGTAGGCAGAGCCTATCCCAAGTTCTCTTTGTCTTTGGCTTCCTATCAGATGGGAGGACCCAATGTGAGAAGGAGACTTGCCAGTGTGACAAGGAGCTTGCCCTCTGCCTGCGGCGAAACTTGGAGAGCTACCAGAGGAACTACCGTTTCTTATGGAAGACCCTCTGTCAAGAGCAGAACCCAGAATGCTAGAACGAGGCCCTCCTGTATCCCTGGTGGGAAGAGAGCCCAGGATGGGGTTCTAACTCTACCGGGAAACCTTTAAAAAAAAAACAAGCAAAAAAAAAATAGAGCCTATACACTGGTTCTGAGAAGTCACTCTTCAGAATAGACTAGAGTCTCTTAGATTTCATGGTACTTCGGGTAAGGGCCCTTCCATAAGGGCCCTTCTAGCTCTGACCTTCTGTATCCTAAGGGCCTTCCCAGCTCCAACATTCTGTGTTCTAAGGCCCTCCCAGCTCTGACCTTCTGTGTTCTATATCCCCTCCCAGCTCTGACATTCTCTGTTCTATATCCCCTCCCAGCTCTGACATTCTCTGTTCTATATCCCCTCCCAGCTCTGACATTCTGTGTTCTAAGGGCCCTCCCACCTCTGACATTCTGTGTTCTAAAGGCCCTCCCAGATCTGACGTTCTGTGTTTTAAGACCCTTCTAGCTCTAACATTCTGTGTTCTAAGGTCCCTTCTAGATATGACATTCTCTGTTCTAAGGGCTCTCTCAACTCTGACTTTCTGGTTTCCCAGGGCCCTCTCAGCTTTGATACTCTGGGTTCTAATTCTCATACTCTACATTCTGAGGTCCCTCCTGCTCTGACATTCTCTGTTCTAAGGGCCCTCCCAGTTCTGACATTCTGTGACATTCTCTATGCTAAGGGCCTTCCAGTACTGACTTTCTATGATCAATGATCTATTCTGAGCACTATCAGCCTCCCTAGAATAAGTGTGTGGCCACCCCAGGTCACTTCTCTGGGAGGACGGTGATTAGTCAGATCCACAAGCTCTCCTCTGTTTATTGAACCACTAGATGAGTAGTTTTATTGTCACAACTTACATCGAGGCCTGTGATACCTCGTTCCTGGGCTCTAGGAGCAGCCTTTCCCTTCTGCTTCCTTGCTGCGGATAATGGGGAGGGGGCAAACAGACATGCTCTTCACTGCACTGCCAGGCTAGGCAACTTTCCCATGGTTATAGTGTCCCCACCATCCTCCACAGGGTCATGATTCCTCCCAACCTTACAAGACACTTTGTAATAATGGTAGCTGGTCAATAGTCAATAAACATTTATTAAGTACCTACTGTGTGCCGAGCACTTTACTAAGTATAGTGGAGATTCAAATACACACACAGATATACACACCAAAAAACCACCCAGAAAAATGAAGACCGTCCCTTCCCTCAAGGAGCTTGCAATCTGATGGCGAAGACAACACATAAAAGAAAGCTAGAAAGGGGAAGAGAGCAGAGGAGATGAGTTTTCTGGGGAAGGAAGGCACGTGGAGCATTCCAGAGAAGTCCAAAATCAATGTAGGTGGTGGGAAATGGAGTCGGGTGGGGGAACTCTGCTATGCCCCTCTTTTTTTTAATTTTAAATGTTTTTATTTATTTTGTTAAATATTTTCCAATTACATTTTTAAAAAAAATTAACATTCATTTTTTAAAACATTGAGTTCCAAATTCTTTTCCTCCCTCATACCTCTGCCTTACCCCTTAAGAGTGAGCCCTCTCTTTAAACAGAGGTCCTGGAGCCCGTGGCCCTGCCCTCTAGTCAGAGGGTCCAAGAAGGGGGAGAGGGTGCTGATGAGATGTGAAGGGCTACAGAATGGCATTTCCCCATGATGAGCTTCCTGAGGGAGGGAGACATATTGGAGAGGTCCAAAGAACACAGGAGCAGGGTAGCTGATGGGAAACAGGGGCAGGTTGTAGTGCTTCAAGAATTTATAAGATGATTTGCAGATTCTCTTTTGATGTTTCTGATGTTAGAGGTGAGATTTGAACTCAGTTCTTAAGAAACTCCAGGGCCAGTGCTTTTTACCATCCCACATTCCCTCTCTAGCAACAAGATCCTCACCATTCCATACCAACCCATCTCTATCACAACTTCAGTGTAATCCTTTATTTTTCATCTCCATTCACCCCATATAAAGAATCAGTTGCCAAAGCTTGGTGTTTTCTACATGCATGACACCTCCCCCATCATTCTCTCCTATTAAGCCATCTCCTCCACAGCCTCTGACTCATCACATCCGACATCTTGGGATTATCTCCTGGAGATGATCTACTCTGGGGCCCCACTCTCCTGATTGACTCTCCCAGGAAGACCATTTCAAGAAATCCCTGACCATCTTTCACTTCGCACTCTCTCCTCTATAACATATTCCACAAACTCATCCTCGAGCCCCTCCCGTTCTGGAAGCATGAACCATAATAGGATCAGCTTTACCATGGTTCCTGGATGGGGCATGTCCATCTATCAGCTAAGGTTCCATTCTACATTCCTGTAATTTTCCAAATCAAAGTGCCCTTGGCTAGCCACCACTACCATGTGAGGTGTTTCCCCCTTGATTATAAATTCTTTCAGTTCAAGTACTGTCTTTGCTTTTGTATTTGTATCCCTAGGTCTTAGCAAAGTGCTTGGGATGAGGAAAGAATGAAATAAATGCTTCTTGCTCTCACTCATTCTCCTTCTCTCTACTCATATAGCCACCACCCTACTTTCCTAGACTTCTGCCTCTCATGCTCTCATTTTGTTGTTGTTGTTCAATTTTTTTTTCACTCATGTTGGACTCTTTGTGACCGCATTTGGAGTTTTCTTGGCAAAGATACCATTTCAGAAATTTATTTTATTTAGTGGTTTGCCATTTCCTTCTCCAGCTCATTTTACAGATGAGGAAACTGAGGCAAATAAGGGTAAGTGACTTGCCATGGGGCTGGATTTGAATTTAGATTTTCCTGACTCCAGGCCCAGTGCCCTACCCACTGAACTACCTAGTTATCTTGTTTCCTTGGCTCCTTCAAAACTCAGCTCCTGCTGAAAAAGAGTTTTCCTAGTCTTCCCTGCTCCTCCTGGGTTTCAAGAGCCTTCCCTTCTAAAGTGATCTTCCAGTTATCCTGCTTCTATTTTGAATGTACTTATCCATAGACAGCCATCTTCCCCATTAGAATGTGAGCTCCTTGAGGGTAAAAACTGGTTTTTGCTTTGTCTCTTTATCACCAGTGCTGTGGGCCTGGTGTGAAATTAGGGCTTTTGGGAATGCTTGTGGAGGATTTGTAATCAGTTCACTGAATCTATGTAGGATTTCTATCTACCCTGGCCTGTAGGGCCCTGAGGCTAACTTCTGACAGAGTAAAAACCCTTGATGAGAAGAGGGTCATTTCCCTGACCAACACCCTAAACTGGCAATTGCCTAAAAGGGGGTTTGGGGGCACATGGCAATCCCATCAGATAATTTCCCAGCCTTGGATCAGAGGAAGGCTCCCAGGAACCCTCCCTCCCCCAGCCATCAGGGTGCTAGGCCAGCACCGTTGGCTTCAGGGCACTCCAGGATGGGCACTGGTAATTAAGTTCCCTGGGACTTCAGGGTCTTTCCAACTCTAAATCAAAGGCTCTTTCCCTTCAGGATGGCCTGGCAGAGCCCAGGTTTTGGACAGTGGCAAGTGAGAGGAAAAGAGTGGTCCCTTTCACCTCCATTGCAGCTCATTCAGCACTGCCAGCTAGGCCCCTGGCCTGAACATTTCTGGGCAGTTGAGGCCCTTCCCTTGGGAGTCTGCTTTGTTATTTATTTATTTATTTTTTTGTCCAGGGTCAGATAGTTCTGAGGAGAACCTCTTTACAATGTTTTCAGGTTTAACAGGTGAGTTCACTACCAGCTAGGAGACCTGATTCAAATCCAACCTCAGACATTTTCCAGCTGTGTGACTCTGGACAAGTCACTTCACCTCTGTCTGCCTCAGTTTCCTCAACTATAAAATAAGGATAATAGCAGCACCTATTTCCCAGGGTTATGGTAAGAACCCAATAAGATAGTATTTGTACAGTGCTTAGCACAGTGCCTAGGACATAGTAAGGATTTATTAAATGTTTGTCCCCTTCCTCTCCCCAAAAGTATGCCCTGATATTTATGCCCATTTGTTTTTCCATATTATAATCATTGAGAAAAAAATGTATCTCTTTTATGCTGAGGCGAGGCCTGTGAATATAACATTGATAGTGATTAGATTTACTGAACTAATTTTTATTATTTAAAAAAAAATTTTTTTTTTAAAGATGGTTGGGGGGTGGCAGAAAGGGTAAGATAAATAATAGAGAAAGAAGGTTATATAAAAACAAAAGATATCAATAAAAATTCAAAAGAAGCAAAGTGCTATTTTGATGATTACACTAACTCTGTAAATAAATCCAGAGTATGGTCATTTTAGCTATGTAAATAGTTACACTGACTATCCCTCCAATTTAGATCTTTTACTTCATAGAATCTCAGAGTGGGAAGGAGCCTTTGATTTAGAGTTGGAAAGAACCTGAAGTCCCAAGGAACTTAATTGATTGACCAAGGTCACGCAGGTGGTGGTTGGCAGAAACTAGAACCTACATCCTCTGACTCCCAATCTGGTGGTTTTTATTTATACTATGTTCCCATCTTTTCTGATACACACTTGTACTGCCTTTGCTTGAAGCCCTTCAATGAGATCTTCATTATTATTACTTTTCATGTGAAGAGAGACCTCTTTGGGGTATCATACAGCCTCGGGTGTTTCAGTGAATTTATACGCTCTTTGAAAGCAGTGTAAGTCAGTGGAGCCAAAAGAGCTTTGGGTTGGGAGTCGGAAGATATTTGAATCTAAGCTCTGCTATTTACTTCCTATGGGACCTTGATTGAGCATATCATTTCTCCTGCCTGGGAGTTTCCTCCCCTGCAAGATGAGAGGATTAGGCTAGGATCAAGCAGCTAGGTGATACCTTAGCTCTAAATTCTACAAGCCTGTGAGGTTTAAGGCCTATCATTGCTGAGCCCCACATCAATCTAGTGCCTTCATCTTCCTCCTTTTATTTCAACCCCAGAATAAGAAACTTGGGAATGGAAAGGGCCTGATTTCCTCTTTCCTATTTGACTTTCCCTAGCAATTTGAGAGAGATAATGCTATGTTTGCCAACGGCAGAGGCTGATTCAGAGGACAGAAGTTTTTTGCAGCTTATCAGCCCCAACCCATCATCCCTCTATCCTTCTCTTAGAGAGCACAGAACTGCCTAGAATCTCGGGCCCCAGGCATTCCACCAGTAGTAATTCTTTACCAGCAGTGCCCAATTCAGGGGTAAGGTGACCTCTGAAGATCTCACCTTGATTACCCAATTCTGTTCCCTCCAGTCCACTTTCCAGAACCTCAGTGAGGCCTAGAGAAGGCAGATGACTTGTCTGTGATGGCAATGGTAACAAATGGCAAAGTCAAGACTCTAACTCAGG